GGTTATAACAGCCCCTTGTACTTACTTCCTAGGAGTAAAATCTGACAGAATGTTCTCATGAACAATTCCCATGCAAATGAAATGTGCTATACATCCTAATGGGGCATGTGCAGTAGAAACTTCCAGTAAATTGTATTTCATGGGTCAGATCCAGAGTCCCACTTTGTCAACTGCAACCAAAGGTCAGATAACTCACCTTCTTACATAGCAATGTTGCTGATTCTAAGCCTCTCTGTTTAAAAGGCAGTCTTTCAACACGCATGGCTGTGCTGATGCAAGTTTTAAACTTACAACCAACGTGGCAAAAACATTTCTCCCAATTACAGTTTGTAATACACAAACAAAGGAAACCCCTCCTGGATTTTTTTTTAATCCTCTGCCTTCCCATGCTATATTTCTTACATGGCCTACAGATTGTACAAGAAAGGTTCTTAGTTCTTGTATAAAGTTGCCCATAAAATGTTTACTGCTGCTATATAAATGTAAAAAGTTGGTGGGATTCATTACAGCCCATTTCTGAGCATGTGAAAAGAGGAGGCAAATATCTGCAGATAGCACAGAAGCCCCAGCTCTGAAGAAGCTCTGAACTCCCATACAACATTCAAATTATACATAGGAAGATTGTCATCATATAGCTGTTAAGCAGATGGAAGATACAAAGCAATGCTTTGCATACAAAAAAGGATGGTCAATAAAAAAAGGAAAAGAGATGTAATACTGTATGTTATTCTAGAGACTTATTATAATACAGCACAAAGCCCATACAGCTACTCTTCTGCTCCACATTAATTCCATAGTTGATGCTGAAATACTGTTCTTGCTTTGCTTTCATTTATAACTTCTCTCTCTCTCTCGTTCTTTCTTTCAAGTCATCTTATAAATTTCCCCACGACTGCCTGATTATGATGAGATGAAGCACAAAGGAATACATTTTAACTCACATGTCTCAAATTCACATTGAACAAAATGTAAGTACTTTTCAGTAACATTGATTTCAATGGAGAGAGGCTTAAGTACATTCTTAATTCTCTCGATGAATCAATAGGACATTCAATGTGATTAAATTTGACTGGACAATGTCTACAGAATTATTAAAAGAAGAGAGAGCAACCACTCATTAAGGGTAAGGCTGTGTTGATTATCATCTTCATAAATAGATATGGTACATGTGGAATCACTAGAGCCTCAAATTAAAACCATGGGGGGAAACAGAATTAATTTGATATTTTCAAAATACTTTCTTTGTTAACCACCCATATTTATATTGCGCTTTTAATTCCCTCTCTTCCTTTTTCCTTCCTTCCTTGGTAGCTTCTTTCACTTGTGGGAATTACTCTTAGAATACTGTAATCCTAATGACTGATAGAGCTGACTTTAATTTTCACCCTTCACCTGCTTTAGAAACTGAAAGTGGCAATATAAAGAGGCCTTGCGCAGTTAACAAAATTGTTGATAAATTTCAACAGTTTAACTTCTATGTTGCAAGAGAATTTTAGGGAGAGGCCCTAAGCTTCATAATGAAACCGCATGATAAGCACAGAAACACACATGTATCTGTACACTTAAATGTGTATATATTCAGTACACTTAAAAAAAAAACAAGACAGAGACATGCATAAAAAGGGAGGAGAAAGGCCAGGAAAACTAGTGCCAAGAAACATGCTCTTAATTTTCAAATACCCCCCAAAAGCCAATGTTAAAACAATTTTCTGGAAAGCAATCATTACTATTACTAAACCTACAGAAAAATCATGAACGCTATTGCTTTTCTATGTCCTCTCTAATATTTTGCATAAAATCTTTTAAATTACAGGTACAAGGACCACAGTTGTACAGTATATTTAAGCCACTTCTGTCTCCCATTGCAGCTTGACCACTCCAAATCAAACTTCTGGGGTGGGGGCAGAGAATGGGGACACGGAGGGCTGTCCACCTTGGTGGGTAATTACAATCACGATTCCAGCCATGTGGCTAGTCAGCTCATTACTACTTCCTCCCTTTGTATCAAACCCCTTATTTACATTTCAGATTACATTTTTCATGAAACAGCAAGATCTATCAGAGCTGAAAGGGCTGAAATAATGAGGGAGAAATATTTTAATAAAAATGTGTTAAGGTCCTGCATTTCCACCCGTGTTGGAAAAGAAAGGAGTCCTTTCTCTACTGACAGATCATTTATTCTGCTTCTAAATGAGAAGCAAAAAGAGAAAAAGAGAGAAGAAAAAAAAGATGAAACTGATGAACTTTTACTGCCCATTTGTCTTTAGCAGACAATTAAGACAGGAGATCAAAACGGATTATCATGCCACGCAGACAACTGGCCCAACAGTGATACATCTCCGGGACCACATATTTGTAACCCTCCTTTTATCCCTCCCCCCTTTCTTCTTACTCCTTTTTCCTCTCTAAAGGCAATGCTAGCTTTGTGGCTCAAGAGGAGCCAAAAGGCTGCCCATCATTATTCAGCCACAGATGTCAGCCTAACCTCCCTTTTTTCTCAGGTTTCTAAAGCTGGGAGCCACAATAATTTGTGACAGATTCTTTTACTGTAAGGTACAAAGAACACACAGAATAAAACATCCAGCAGCAGCGAGGGCTCTGATCAGATGCACTGCCTACATGGGAAACACACTGTACGTAAAAACAAGCGCCAAGAATTTAGACTGGGGAAGGGTGGGCAGTGGGGAGAGAGAACTTGAGGGCTTTCGTACTAATGAGTGAATTCCCTCGTATTGACTTAACTCGCAATATTCCTCATGGATTTGCTTGGGTTGTCAGCAAGAAACATTCACCAGGATGTGAACATACAAGCAAACTGTACTTGCTGCCTATTAGCACGATGAAAGGGAATCCCTCTGTTTTTATTTCATTTGTTTCCTCTCCTGCACCATGCTTTAATCTTGTTTTAAAAAAATGATCATTCCCCAAAAGTTAGGAAATCAATCTCAATCACCCGACTGTGCTCTGGTTCCAGCATAAATCAAGGAAAACTGTACACAAGGTGCTTTGCCATTTGACACCTTATCCTCTGACAACCTGGTAATAACTTCATTAAGATCTCTCAAGCAAGATATTTTGATTCACAACACCGGTAAACTGAATTTAAAAAATCACTGTTTGATCTAAAAATGGCTGCCTTCTATTTTGTGTATTGCCTTAAAAATATTAATAAACAGGCACTGGGTGTTAACCGATCCTAAGTGTTGCTGGCAAAAGCACCTGACTGTCTCTTAATGGTTTAAATGCACAATTTATATCCCTGTAACTGCTTAAAGACTCCAAAAGGAAAGTTACTATGCATCTGAAATCTGTATGCTTTAAGTTTGAGAAGCTGGCTTCCTTAACCACTCCTTGAATTGATTGCCCACCTTTTTAAATTTCCTTAAAACACACACACAAACACATTAAAAAAAATCCAAACACACAGTGACTATATGGATGGGGACAGTTCTACAGTGGCACATTAGGCTTCCATTTCTGGCTTTGGTAAGCTTGATTTGTTTTGAGGTGATTTATAGCATGTTAAAATTTCTCTCTCTCTCTCTTTCTTTGGTTTTACAAAAGAAAAATATTTTATGTATGAGACAGCCCTATAATCCATAGATCACAAGCGCAAGAGACAGCAACAGCTCGGAGGGACTCTTAATCCGACTACATTTCACATGATAGACTAGGGGCTCTTTCAGCACATACTGTGGCCCAATGCAGCCAAGTGTACGTAGGGAGCTATTTATTAACAGATTATTGGCAGGAGATGGCAACAAGGACTCGTGCATTTACAAAAGGATGCTTTGTTGCACGACCTCTAAGTACGGGGGGCGGGGAGAAGGGGTCACTATAAAACTCTTGCAAAATCCAGTCAAGCAACATGCTCCTTAAAAAAATATTAATATTAATACTACAGAGTGTGGGCATCAGGGCAACCATTGTCCTAGACGGGTGTATACACAGCTACAAGACAAGGTCTGTGCACCCTGAGGGGTCCACATTGAGACATGCTCAGCAGGCAGCAGGAGACACTACTGCGCCTTCTACAGAACAGAAACATTTTTAAAGCATGGGGTGGGGGAGGTAGAAGGATCAGAATCAAAACCTTCTGTGAGAAAAATGTAATTAAAACCTGGCACAAATGATTATTGGCATTTTTCCTCTCTTTAACATTACTACACAAAGGTCCTCCAGCTGAGTGGAGATTTTCATAGATGTAACAATTAAAAAGAATTTGCTCCAGAGATCAAGTTTCAGCCCAGACTTGCAGCGGCTGACAGAAACCCTCTCCCCAAAACTAGCTTCCCCTGCACAACCACAAGAGTGTACTAACTATACATAACAGTGCAGAAATACATTTTCCTTCCTTCTTTCTTTCCTTCCTTCCTTCCTCCCCCCACCACTCTCTAATGAGATGCATTCAAAGAGGAAGCAGCCATCAAGATCAGCAAGCAGGAGCTTTTGGTTATCACAACCATCCCCACAAACTATCACATAGCAGGACGTGTTCTCTTTCTCCTTTGGCGCTAATTGCAAAATTCCCAAAGCGTTCTGCATGCACAGTCACTCCCTCTTGGGCTCTCTCCCCGCCCCCCCAAATTCATTGCTCTGTAAGTTCTGATGTGACCCTGGGCTTGAAACAAGGGGGGAAATACTGCATTTACACAAAGTGATAAAACATAAACAGTGAGATGTGGATTCTGTATCTCACACAACAGTCACAGCAACTCCAAGACAGGATAAGGGATGTTTCTAAAACGTGGAATTTATGAATTTGCTTCTGCAAGATAGATTCTTAAACGACAAAACACTGAGGAGCTAAAATCCCCTTCTGACAATGTTTCCTTCTATGCAAGTTTAGAAATGTCTTCTATTTCTAATTGCAATTCTATTTCCTTCTAAATATATTATTCTGTGTGTGCTTTTTTTTAATGAAAAAAGAACAGCAATAATATGTTGAACAACCCTGAAATGAATTTTGTCTTGTAAAAAATTAATTACACATTCCAAACCTGGTCACTGTAGTCCTCTGGGAATTGCCTCCGCACCTCAGGATCTGTAAATAATTGACAGATAATATTAATTGGCTTTGGATTAGTGAGCAAGCAGAGAATCACACATTAATATTTGATCAGAAGATGATAGCAGCCCTGGCAGGGGATCCAAGGAGGGCAGCTGAGGCTGAGGCGCTGATAAGAGGAAGTAAGGACTCCTCAAGGCTCTCCTTTTACCCTCTTTCCAGAAAGACAAAAAAGAAATTAAAGAGACCTGATGCTACTGTTAACTTTAGGCTGTTATCTCATGCAAAAACCTAACCAGGTGCAAATTGCCAGCGACGTGTTTTGCAAAGAAACAGCATCATTCTCATCGTGCTTCGACTCCTTATCTTTAATCAAGCAACTCATTTAGTTAACTATTGGAATGGACTTTATTGAAGGAAAAACAACCCACCAACAATACTATTCAGAGGGACCTGCTCTTTCAAATCTGGTTCAATTATATAGGTGGGAGAGAAAGTGGATTACTCTAAAACACTGATAAAAAAAGAAAGAGAGAAAGGGAGGTTGTACCATGAGTGAAGACCTAATTAAACTGATTCCAAGCCATGTTAGCTCTAGGAAACCCTAACATGACGTCTGGAAAACCAAGCTCTTGCATTTTGATTTCTCAGTATAAACAACATAGTAGTTCAACATAAGACACAGCAGTTCTGAACAAGTCTAATTGTATCAAATAGACAGAAGCAGCAAAAACCAAAACCCAGACAGAAATAATTTCTCTGACAAACCATCTCAAAACAACTCTGTTACGACCATCTGCTTTTCCTAACAGCATTTCTAAGACTGCCAAGTTCCATATTACCGGTGTAATTTTTAATTAAAACAATAATAGATTAAAAAACTAGCTGTCTTGGATTTTTGTGGAGAAGTTGTCATTTATTCAAGAAGCCTGATGTCAGACCTACATTTGGGTACAATTGCAAGCATGTTCAGTTCTATGGGCTTGCTGTGCAGGACGCATTGTTAACCAGATGCTTTCCATTTTTACCAAAAAAAAAAATGTTTCCTCAAGTTTTGATCATTATGGAAGAAGCAGAGATTTGTAAACAATCTTTACTGCTCAATTACTGCTCTCCTCTGCTGAAGTTAAAGCTTGTGGGGCAAAGAATAATTTTATGATGTATACACCATATATTTTTGTTTTTTTTAACTGTCTCACCCTAGATCCCTCACAGGCAAAGTTTGTTTTGCTAATAAATTGCTTAATTGGCAGATGCAATTGTTAGCAGATGCAGAATTTCCACTAAACCGTACTTGCTTTCAACAAAGTATTTAAAATGTACAGTAAGAGCATTTTTTTTAAAAAGGGCAACTGAAGGAACTTGCTATTAAATTTTCCATGTGGATACAAGTTTGATACACATATATATATATACAGTATGATGTGAAATTGAGACCCACATAGATGGTAAAGCGGGTTATCCAGAAGATGGCAGACTATTAAGATTTCTTGCACTTGTGCTTGTAGATAGTTTTGCCTCCAGCAACATTTTTACCCAGTCTTCCATTCTGTTCCTATAATTGTCAAGGAACATTCTGAAAACTATTCACTATTATGTCTTCTCAAAAGTTAGTCCCTACACACGTCTTCTCAAATGTTCAATGAGACTTAACCCCATGGGGTTAAAGAGTATGTGATTGTCACCTATGGTTATGTACAACAGTAGCACCCTTCATAACAGAGTTTGCAGAGCTGCATTCATACCGAATGGTAAGCCATTAACCTCTGCTTAGCGCTGTCCGCTAGTGTGAGCCGCTAAACAAACCAGAAATTGTTTGCTTAGCCTGTCATCTGACCCACATTTCTGGGTGTTTCACAGGAACACAGAAAACTACCTTATTATTAGATTGTTGGTCCATCTCGCTCAGTATGGTCTGATGCTCTCTAGAGTTTCAAGCAGTAGCATTCTTTCCTAGCCTCACCCGAGATATCAGGTATTCCCAAAGAATCTTCCACCCAAATACTTACTAGCTGTTTTCTTTTCAGAAACCAGACTAGATGTATTCAGAGTGTTTTGGTAATTTTGTAAGCATGGAAAACAAGCCACAATTCATAAATCAAGATCAAGCCTTCAATTGTATCCTGTCTTATAAAAGGAGTAAAGAGCCTGGATCTAGAATCAGAAAACACAAGTAGGTGACCACTTTTGCTTCATTTAACTATCTGCTATACTTGAACGGTCCAAGCACAGGTGAACAGGCTCTGCGTACCAGCAGGCAGTACATTGCTGGTAGGCCAGGATTTCCCAGAATCCTAAATTATCATCCTGTACTGGCAAGGGCTTAAATCCAACATAATGTTCAGTCACCCTGTGATGGAACAGTCCTGTTGTGTGACAAAAACTGTACTGGATACAACTGTTGTGCTAACTGAAAATGTGCAGCTGCTAGCTCTAAAGGCCTTCAGATAGAGGCTGTTGTTAGTAGCCAGTGTGAGAGGGCCATAAAAGGAATCCAGGATCAGTTTAAACCCATGGAAGTATGAAGTGCCTGCACCTACTGAAGTCAATGGATTTAGACACGGTTAGTTGTGTGCACTCGCACCCCTTTGCGAATATTGATTTCCCCTTGCCCTTCAGGCAAAGACAGAAATTTGCTGTGTCAATGCACATCACAGAAACGGGGGAAATATCCCAAACTTGAAATTAGATGACTGTTTTACAGAAAACAATCCCTGCTGCTCCGAACTGCTATTAATAGCAAAGTTTCTGTTACCCATTAAAACTTTACAAATCTTATTCTTCCTATACTTCAAACAAGACATTTGTAAACTGCCTTGCATGGGTTTTTTATATATCTAGCCCAAATCTTTATTAACTAAATAAAATAAGCAAACAAACCTGTCTACTGAAACTGGCAGCAGCTATCCATGGTCAGAGGCCAGCTCATCCAAGCCCACCTACTTCAGATCTTTTCTGATAGGAACAGACTGATCGATTGAGTGATTTGATTTATATGCTGCTTTTCTCCCAGCAATGGGACCCAAGGAAGCCTTTAGGACAAAACCGTAACAGAATAAAATACAATAAAATGATAGACTCTAAAATAAAATAAAATTATTAAGTTATTAAACAGATATGCCTGGGTATGAACCGGGACCCTTCTGAATGCAAGAAAGATGTTCTACCTTCAAGCTATGGCCACCTCCTGATCCTACCTCTCCCTAAGCACCCTCAGCAACCTGTCTGCCCAAAAGCCAACACATTTTTTATTAAAATGCCATGTCTACTACCACCAGACAACTGCAGCATGGGGGAAAAATCTGCACCCACATTTTCCATTCAGCAAATTGGATGCTTCTTGTCAAACACCTCTCCAGCACAGATCACACCTGCTTCAAAACTTCCTCCTAAATGAAAAGCAAAGGGAGCCATGACAGCCTTAAGAAAAATGCCAAAATCCTTATTTAGATAATACTATTAATAAGCCAAGAGAACATCATAAAAGTTCTCCTGAACTCTTCACTGGGCAAAAGAGTCAACAAAAGCAGAGGAAGTGGGGGAGGGATTGTCAGTGGTCAATTCTCAGTGCAGACGTTCAAAGCAGAGAGTCTTCCTTTAGATGTGATTTTGAGATTTAACATGAGAGAATAAGATATAGGTATGTCTTGCTATGGTGCAAAAAAAAAAAGGGATAACTAGTGGGTACCCCAAGGCTTAGTCCTGGGCCCGGTGCTCTTCAATATTTTTATTAATGACCTGGATGAGGGAGTGCAGGGAATGCTTGTCAAATATGCACATGATACCAAATTGGGCGGAATAGCTAATACCCTAGAAGACAGAAACAAAATTCAAAATGACCTTGATAAGATGGAGCACTGGGCCAAAAGCAACAGAATGAAATTCAACAGGAATAAGTGCAAAGTATGCACCTCGGAAAAAGAAACTGATTGCACAGTTACAAGATGGGGGATACCTGGATCAGCAAAACTACACGCGAGAAGAATCTTGGAATTGTTGTAGATCACAAGCTTAATATGAGCCAACAGTGTGATGTGGCTACAAAAAAGGCTAATGCAATTTTAGGCTGCATTAACGGAAGTATAGTTTCCAAATCCCGCGAGGTACTGGTCCCCCTCTATTCAGCACTGGTGAGACCTCACCTTGAGTACTGTGTCCACTTCTGGACACCACACTTCACTAACAAATTGGAGCAAGTTCAGAGGAAGGCGACAAGGAGGATCAGAGGGCTAGAAACCAAGCCTTATGAGGAAGGCTGAAAGAATCGGGCATGTTTAGCCTGGAGAAAAGATGACTGAGGGATGATATGACAGCACTTTTCAAATATTTGAAAGGCTGTCCTATAGAGGAGAGACAAGATCTGTTCTCGATCATTCCAGAGTGCAGGACACACAACAATGGGCTCAAGTTAAAGGAAGCCAGATTTCGGATGAATACCAGGAAAAACCTCCTAACTGTTAGAGCAGTATGACAGTGGAACCACTTACCTCGGGATTTGGTGAGTGCTCCAACAGTGAAGGCATTCAAGGAAAACAGATAATCACCTGGCAGATATGCTTTGATTGTATTCCTGCACTGAGCAGGGGGTTGAACTTGCATCTTGCATCTTGATCAGTAGGCCAGGTAACTCTCCAGGCCAAACCACTTTATCTGAGTAATGCTACTATATAACTGTCATGTTTCCAAATGCCCTAATTTCTATCAGCAGCAGAAGTGTGGCATACGGACATATCCTGGCACCCCGCCGTTTGCAAAATGCCTTTAAATTCTCCATCTGGCAGCAATCCACTTACATGCCTGTACATTTTTACCACTGCTCTATGGGCTGAACTGTATCCTCTCCACACCTTCTACCATTAAATTGTCTGGAGAAATGGGGGTGTTATCTGAAAGATTAAAAACAACTTTATTTGCACGTCGGAGGCAACCCTATTAACAGACTGGGCATTACGCACTACACATTTTACTCATGACAAATGATGTTAAAACACACACATATCAAAATGACAACTGACTTACTTCTAACTGTACTCTAT